ATATATTTATATATATATATATATATATATATATATAATTGGGGGGGGGTGCAATAGGGATTTCGCCTAGGGCGTCAAATTGGCTAGAAACGGCCCTGAATATAAGTAATATTATCGATTTAACCGCACTGTCACACTCGGGATGAGAACAAAACTTGAGTTGGGCTGGATAATGACACTAACTTTGCAACAATCGACACTGTTATTGAACTGAATTGAGCTGAATAATGACACTGCTGCCTTCTGTAAAGCTGCTTATAGCTGAACTTTGCACATTGACAGTTATTGAACTTAAGTGAAACAACATTGAAGTAAATTTAGCTGAATAATGACACTGTTGTCTTCTGTTCAGCTGCTTTACAGCTGAAATTGAATTTATTTCATAATTGATGAATTTTACAACATTAATGTGAAGCTGCTTTGAAACAATTTGAACTGTGCTAAGCTTTACGTATATAAATAAATGTGACTTGACATGACATTACTGTGGCAAACGAGTAAAGCACGGAGTAGAAATTATGAAAGTGGCTTTCAAAATATATTCCGTATTTTATTTACAGATTATTAAACATTAATCGCCTGCATCTCACACCATGAGCCGTGTGAAGTTTAAAAGTAGTTCAATCTTGAGACCCCTGTGTTTTGATTCCTTTGTCCTACAATGTAAAAAATGTGCACAAATACAGACATTTTCATATAAAGTAATAATTTATAAATAATTGTGTTTGTGTAAGATGGCATGTGAGAGAGAGAGATTGTGTGTTTGTATTGGTGTGTGTTTGAAAGGGAGTGCCCAGGTTTTGTCATGATTGCTCTTGTTGGTAAACGTTTTCTAAGTACATATTGTTATGACTGGCAGATAACAAGAAGGATCAGGAGCGTATCTAACGAGGTGCTTCAGACGACCCCAACATGCTAATTACATCTCATTATTCAGGATATCATCCGAGATTAACTGTTCACTTTGCTCAAGAAATTTGAGCCCGGTGTAATTCAATTTAAGGCTTCTCGTTTTCACCTCATTTGCATGCGCGCTTTCATATGTAGGCGGAGGCAAAGCAAGAAGACTGGTTCATTGTTCCTGCTTAATGAAAAGCCTTCTTTTGTGTGTGCGTGTCTGAATAGAGATGTTTACACTGCCTCAGCTTCCGCGGTTCTACTTCAATGTACGCGAGTGCGAGTTTGCATGTGTGTGTGTGTTCACTGAGGCCTGACAGATCGCTACTGTACTGAGACTGTCAACTCCATTGCGGCTCCCACGATCGTTCCTCAGTTTCTCTGGCTGTCATTAAAAGCAGTGGGGCTCTGGTGCAACTGCTGCCCTGCTGGCTCCTGCCTGTCAGCGTGAGAGTCCTTCCAGCCGGGCGGCCTAGATCGCTACTGTACTGAGACTGTCAACTCCATTGCGGCTCCCACGATCGTTCCTCAGTTTCTCTGGCTGTCATTAAAAGCAGTGGGGCTCTGGTGCAACTGCTGCCCTGCTGGCTCCTGCCTGTCAGCGTGAGAGTCATTACAGTCGATAGGGCTTCAGTGCTTCCACTGCTTCCAGAGTGACTCCGGAGGAGGAGAGGGACTCATTATAGCCAGAGGGTTCTGTAGTGCCTCGGAGAACGCCGCTCATTGATGTTTCTGATGTTTGTAACAGCTCTGTCTAAACACTGGCAATCCCTCCCAAATACAGACAGAAAGACACACGCGCCGCATATCTTTTCCAGTTTCCTTGGAGATAGATTCATCCCACTTACAGGATGGAAGTGACACAGTGGTGTGAGGTGATGAGACAGACATTGAACACAGATATACTGATCACAGGCTGAGTAACACGAGCACAGATGGTGAGCTGTAAGCGCCTGGATGTAAACGTCTCATATTTGCAGTGACTCCCGACTTGATCTGGACTCTGTATGTGTGAATGTTAGCATGTCTGGCCGCGTTTGCTCAAACTGCAGGCCTGTTTCTGTGATGTGTGTGTGGATGTTGATGCATGGGAAGGGGATCGGTCTTAGTTTATGCCCACCAATAACACGTTAGTCATGGTAGGGAGCAAATGAGGGTGCGGAAGATACACATGCTTAATACCATTAACAGCGTTACATTTACAGAGCTTTTCCACCGTTAGTGAATGGAAATGCTACTGGTACTTGTTGTGCTCAGAACCCTTCAGCCCAATGGAGTCTTATTTTTCATTTTTAGTGCTACAGATGTTTCATTTTATTTCTTAGCAGTACTAGTTTGAATTTTCATTGTATAATTTATTCATCTGTTTAAATTTAACTAGGTTAATTGCTACTTTCTTAGTTTACTCTGCACTGTTGCTGTATTTAATTGTATATTATTTTGCACTTCAGATATTTTATTTTATTTGTTTACATAACTTTTTCACACTGTTGTTTTACTTCATTTGACATTGTTAAATCTATTACTTTTTGTTGGTTCTTATTAACGGCTGCTTTGTTGGTTTGCTTTATTATTATTTTATTTTGTGTTACTACTATTTTTTATTTGTTCATATTGTTTGTGATCATTTTTGCACTACTGATGTTTTATTTTATTTCTTAATAGTACTTGTTTATTTGAACTTGTTTTACTTAATTTTACATTGTATAATTCATTGTTTTTGTTTACATTTAATGAAGTTAATTGCTACTAAGTTTACTCCACATTGTAACCGTCTTTCGTTTTACTTTATTTTATTTTGCACTACAGATATTTTATTTGTTCACACTTCTGCTTTACTTAATTTTACATTTTACAATGTATTAATTTTTTGTTTACAATTACTAATTAATACTTCTTTAGTTAATTTTATTTAGTTTTTCACTACTCATTATTCTTATTATTCGTTCTCATTTTCTGTTTGTTTGTTTTTTTCCTCATTAAAAGAACAAGAAGATATATGGGATGCCATGCATTAACCCTGTGGAGACTTCCTACAGGTGCAGATAATGAATATGTTTGGTGTCATGCTTTTAAATGAATGTATCTAAAAATAGATTGCCAGACATCGAGGTATTCAGAGGGTTTGCCAGACACACTCCCTAGATGAATGTAATGTAGCGTGGTTGTTTCCACTGTTGGCTGGATATACTTGATTTACTTTTTCCAGTTCCCTTTCAGTCGGTCACTCTCGACGTCACGTCGGATGACCGACGAAATTGGGATCTCGCTTAGAGAGACCAATCTACTTCGAGTGTAAACTAAACGAGCCAATGCACATTGGCATGCGATTATTGCATCGTGACGTCGGGAGTGACCGACTGAAAGGGAAACGTCTCGGTTACGTATGTAACCCTCGTTCCCTGAAGGAGGGAACGGAGACGTCACGTCCCGTCGCCACAGCTCCTGTACCACCGCTGAGCGGCCGGGTCACCGGCTCGGCTCCTCAGCGAAAACCTGAATATGCGCTGCATCTGCTGCCTACTTATACTCACGCTGTGATCAGCGGCAGCTGGATGCAATAATCGCATGCCAATGTGCATTGGCTCATTTAGTTTACACTCGAAGTATATTGGTCTCTCTAAGCGAGATCCCAATTTCGTCGGTCATCCGACGTGACAACTCCGTTCCCTCCTTCAGGGAACGAGGGTTACCATACGTAACCGAGACGTTCTGTAGGATGCATGTTTTGGCAAGTATTGGACATATAAATAGCAGCTTGTTTTCTTCGCGGACTATGCTAAGGTTGGCAGCATCAACATCAGAGACATAGGGTAAAGTATAGAGCGATACTGAGACACAGAGCACCAAGTTATGAACGGTCAGTGCCAAGGGCATGAATTCAACTGTCGATCTGTGCTATGTTCTTTTTTAACACAATTTAGATTAGATACACAAATAACTGTATGTCCTTTTTTTCCAGTTTGACTTTGTGAAGTTGCTGGATGGGAGACAGCTGATTAAGCAGGATTCCCGGAATGTCAAAATTCCGAACGCTCCTCCGCGAAGTCTGCTGGTGTCTGCTCTGCAGGAGACGGGCTTTGTGGAATACCTTGATGTAGGCACCTGGTACCTGGCCTTCTATAATGACGGTCGCAAGATGGAACAGGTGGTGGTGTACAGCACACCCATAGGTGAGAGCACAACAATTATTGTTTTTTTTTTCTTTTCATTTCAATTATTGATATCAATACACAAAATAAATTGGTACATGACTTCAGGATTATTTAATTATGCAGTGAATTGTGTTGTGTTTGTGTGTTCAGAAACAATAGATGGTTGCCTCACTAACTGTAACGGTAACGGAGAGTGTGTCGCTGGACACTGTCACTGTTTTACTGGCTTCCTGGGGCCAGATTGTTCAAAAGGTACAACTGAGCACAATAATACACATCATCATAATCACACAATGATACACAGTATTATCAAAATAATATATATAATCACATAATATACACAACATGATCACAGTTATGCACAAATACACAATATAATCACAATATATGATATAATTACTCAACATTTTATCTGTACATTAAAGTCATCAAACAACATTGCAGTCGAACTAAGCCTAGAGACACATTCACTCCCAGGACTGTAACTATAAAAATACATATGTTTTAAATGTTTAAAAAAAATAGCAAGAATTCACACCACAACTATAACAATGACAGCACAGAGGAACGATATAGTTGGAATCACTTGCAGAGCAATATCACTTGCAGAGCGATATGAAGCCAATCAGAATCCATCCTACTTTAAAGAGCTCAAGCATTTAAAGCGGCAGACGACGTAACTTCAGCACGCTCTTTGAATAAACAGAACATTATCGTGCATTGGTGTGGACACTAATATGGTCATCGTTACAGTTGTCTTTATAATTATCGTTCTTAGTGTGAACAGGGATTTTTTATTACAGTCTTACAGTTACGCAGTGTTACAAAGATCTGATTATTTATGATTTTGTTTGTATATTTCAGATTCTTGCCCAGTGCTGTGTAGTGGTAATGGCGATTACGAGAAAGGTGTGTGTGTGTGTCACACTGGATGGAAGGGGGCGGAGTGTGAGGTGGAGGAAGGCCAGTGTATCGATCCTACCTGTTCAAACAATGGAGAATGTGTCAACGGAATCTGTGTGTGCGCTCCTGCTTTCAAGGGCGACAACTGTGAGCAAGGTACAGGTCTCCCCCCCCCCCACAACCAAACCAACTT